GTCTGTCGTCTTACTTATATATATATATATATATATATATATATATATATATATACATATAAAAAGTTGAGTCCGTCATGTTACAGTGTGATAAACGGATCATTTAGTTTCGAGCCATAAATAACTACGCTGCATTCATCACACCTGGTACCTCGATCGACAGTTTATTTCCTATATAATACTGCTGGCTTCCCAGGCACGCTTATTGCCACCAGTACCGTCCCTGATTTCGTTCGTTAGCTGGACATAAGCAAACAACGGTAAAAATCGCCAGCAGCTTTTAGCTCCTGCTGTGGAGTGCTCTTTTGAAATGGCGTTTAAAAAAAATTAAATGTTACGTGTAAAGCGTCGTTCAGCTATCTTTTCCTCTTCTAGTTTAGAGCTTTCGATTGTAGCGCGTGAAAAATACTCGTATCTAGGCGACATCTACCGGTAGAAATGGACGGTTTCCGTTTCAATGAAAACGGTCCTCATATTTCAATCCGCTTTACAGCCAGTAACGTTTGTCTGCCCGCCTGCCTGTTTAGTTAACTCACGCGATTATACTAGTAACCGGTTGCTACTTGCCTTTTCAGAATATACACCCCATGTTCACTCATCTATTTAAAACGTAACGTCACTAAGTAACGTGAACTTGTAAATTATTCGATTGGATTTAATATACTCGTTTAGTTGAATACACATAACAAAAGAGAAAAAGAAAGACGAATCGGTCGACCCTCCAGCTTTTCTGGCTGGTCATATCTTTCATCCGCGGTGTCTTCTACTGACTATGGTTTGTAGATTGGGTTGTCGTATGCAGGACTCTCTTCATCAGCCTGCTTCATCTCCATGGTGGTTGTGACCTCCTGCGACGTCCCAGAGCTCTTGCACAAGCAGTAGATGACGATTGCAGCGATGATCAGCGCGGCGAGGACACCGAACGTGATGCCCAATATCATTCCCAACTTCGTCTCATCCTCCTCCTTCTCCTCCTCCTCAGGAAAATTTTTGAAGGTCGCCGATACGAGGTTCGAAATGACGCTGACGCCGCCCCTGTCGTCGTGAGCTCTCAAGGTTATCCATACGATCGTCGACGCAGAAGAATCCTCTGCAGAATAATCAACGAGCGCTCTTTATAAACACCGAAACATTTATTACTGCACGGTTAAAGCGTCGCGGGGGAAACATGGGCGTTGATGATGACCTTACGTTTTGCGATCAAACGCGGGTAATAATCGACATTATCGTCAACATCATGCAGAGATGATGAAACGGGGGATTTTAGAGGGGGACATACTTCGGTTTCGGTTGAGAATCGTCCGCGACTGCGGTCATAATAATCTTGATGTTGATATAGTCCTCGCGAGAAGTCTAGAGCTTTAGCATGCAACAGCTGCGTCGTGCAAGCCACAGCGGTAGTAGTTCTCTAGTAGCAAAAGTAGGCTAATAAACGAGTGTCTAGTATCACATGTAGGCTAATGCGGACGTGTCCGATCCATCAACTCGCTGTCACGATGTTTACCTTTCATTAGAATCTTGACAACGTAATGCTCCAGCGATCCAGATGGTAGAGGAGCGTTCAGGTCTCCCTCTATAACCTCGGATTCGTTAACCAGCGTCTGCGATTCAGGGTCGAGCGTCAACGCTGTGAAGTTTTCACTCGTGATGATGTCGTACCTGGATGCTGTGAAGATCGAGGCATGTTGTAGCAGCGCAGCGTGTAATTATAATGGTCGCACCACACAGCGTAGGCCAGTGTACCGACACGGGACACCGAACATGTCGGCACGCGTAACCGTTGTGTGCGTATATGTAGGTGTGTGTGTGTGTGTGTGTGTGTGTGTGTGTGTGTGTGTGTGTGTGTGTGTGTGTGTGTGTGTGTGTGTGTGTGTGTGCGTGCGTGTATGTATGTGTGTGTGTGTGTGTGTGTGTGTGTGTGTGTGTGAGTGTGGTGTGTGTGGGGGGGGTGCGTGTGGGCGTGTGCGTGTCGTGTGCGTGTGCGGGTGTGCGTGTGCGTGTGGCGTGTGCGTGGCTGTGCGCGTGTGTGTGTGTGCGTGTGCGCGCGCGTTGTGTGCGTGTGCGTGTGCGTGTGAGTGTGCATGTGCGTGTGCGTGTTGCGTGTGCGTTTGCATGTGGTAACAATGTGGTGTGGGTATGCGTTTGCGTTATGAGTGTGCGTGTGGCGTGTGCGTGTTGCGTGTGCGTGTTGGCGTGTGCGTTTGCATGTGCATGTGCGTGGCGTGTGCCGTAACGTGTGTGTGTGAGTGCTATTTTTATCATTATGGGCATGCGGCCGCCTATTGGCCGTGATGTGCGTCATGTCTACTAGTTACCAAACCCAGCACCACAGCAATGCATGACAGGTCTCCCAATAGTATATAATTTACGTGTTAGTGGTGACCCGGTAGAATATCGATAGGGGGTGAAGGACAGTCATCATAATCGTATCGTCCTGCATGCTGCTTGTGGTTGACCTTACTACTCACCGTTTCCAACGTCGAGATCTGCACCGGGAGCCGTCCACTCCAACGTTACTGTTTTCGCTACCTTGTCGATACTCGTCACGAGAAGATCCATGACGTCATTCGGTGGATAGTAGTTCGTATCTGCGGTAAATTATGCGTATTGTAATCTTCCATTCTACACGAAAAGATATTATTGTGTTTTATCTACCGTTTAGTGGCTTTCATTTATCATGCTGTGACTAATTGAACACACACTGTGTGGGTACGATGTTCGCTGGGCTTATGAACTAACTGCAAGGTTTTCACAGCTCGAATATACTCGGCCAACTGTTAATTAAACATTTTATTCGATACTACATCATGATCAGTGATTTCGTTTCTATTGTTTTGCATCCGCAGAGTGTCACCAGCTGCCCGGATAAAAAGTTTCATCACGAGATGTTTCTACGACAACGCATAATTATCATATAATACATTATGTTTATATCAGGAGTGTCATACTAGGGTCATAATATAGCAGTGTCATATCTATATTATGACAATCCTGTTTATATGATATCTATACGGTAACATATGCTCCGCGAGGGATCTACGGGTGAGAATAACTAGCAGGCCCACTCCGAATTCGTTTTGCACGACAGAAAACGCGCGAAAGCCAACAATTGCTCAGATATAGCTGTTAGATCGCAGCGTATTGCGTATAGGTGATGTCACGTACTTTCATCGTACGACGATAACGTGAAGGTGCCACCATTGGTGATACGCTGAAAGTCACCAGTCGATTCCTGCGCCGCTCGTCCCTTACTAGCTTTGATGCGTGCTGCCCCCCGTCCAACCAAACTGTCCGTAGCTATGGTTGTGTCGACCCCTTCATTATCGACTGTCACCTATGAATACGGTAACAATCAGCTTCCCTACACGAGTACCTGCTTAGATTTCATAGAGAAAAACATATATATAGTTATATAACTTATAAGAAAGATGGCATTGATACATACAGACACACTGTATCGGCCATCTTGTGTATAATCGGTCACAAATGCAGAATATATTCCATCGTCCTTATTTACATCGGCTCCTGAAAAATTCGAAATGACAATCACCTCATGTATTCGTGCCCTGAAGTTAAACATGATGCCTTCAAAGAATATCTCAAACCCCTCAATATTCGATATCATTACTTTTCACTCATTACTCTACATATTATAACGCTGGCTGCTCGTGTACGATTTGGGTTATATATAGGATTATAATACATAGCATAATATATATATAGCATTATAAATACACTATCTGTAAGAAAACATGTAGAGCAGAAAGTCTGACTAATTTTTTCGACGTTCAGTTGTTGGACGTACGTACCTGCGCCATTGTCCGACACGACCAGCTCAAAGGCAGTAGTTGACGATGGCCTGTCTATGTAGGCAATGACGCGAGCATTGATAACAGGATTGTAACCTACCCACGTTCGTGGCGAAAAAAAAAATCATCGTCAAGATAATTACACGTGCTCACAGAAAAATGATTCACTATTACACATTCTGTGAAGCAGCGATGCACGCACGCGCGCACACGTTCACAGCGAAGGATTCATGCACGCACGCGCGCACACATTCACAGCGAAGCGTTCACGCGCGTACGCGCACACATTTATAAAGAAATATTAAAGCACGCACACGCACACACACGCAGGCGCACACACAACCGCACGCGCATATATACCCACCTACGCACACATACGCACGCACGCACAGACTACATGACACTAGCACTTTCACAGGAACACCTGCACGCTCGCATGTGAACGGACTCTCTCGCATCAGTATTATCACCTCATCCGCTAACGCTCAAACCAACACACCTACCTTTCGTAACAGCCACGTAGAGTGCTTGTTTCTCGGGCGGTTTTATTTCGTTGCTTCGCCACTTTGCTCCGCTGCGATGGGGGTAGGATGCCTCTTCGACTGTGTACGACGTGGCAGTTATCTGAATCTTTCTGCTGCCTGTCACTGTGTTAATGACGGTGAGGTCATACTTCCCCACCTGAAGAGCATACGGGAGCCATTGGCGATATACGATCGAATTCTGAGTCACCCCGGACATAGATGCAGAACGTATAAAATATGCGTGTGTATATCCGCGTATGCGTGCGTGCATGTGTCTCATACAAGCTAATACGTGGGTATAAGATTCTAGTCATGTTAACAGTCGCTGTCATCGAGCTAACGCGATCATAACTCACTCTGTAGCGTGGAATTCTCGTGATGGGGGGGGGGGATGTCACGGGTTGTAATCGAATTAAAAAATTAATGCTAATGTTAACGCTAAGCTAGCATTAACGACTAATGTCAATGTTAAAACTAATGTTATGACTAATTTTGTTTCTGACAACGGGCCCCAGGTCCAAACTGTCGCGTATACGGATCGTACTTACCGCTGCAATTCCCTCCAGCATGATGTTGACTGATTGAAACACGGTGTCGACGAAGTATTCGTCGACGCTGTCCTCGTCCGTCACGTTGCCATTCGGATGCATCAGCGTGACCTTGACGGGCGGACTGCTGGCGCCATTGTACGTGATCGACATCTCCGTACGTTTCCCGATCGAGGCATCGATGAAGAACGTATAGGAGATCGTGGACCTAGTAGTTCCCGATACCTGATCGCTCTCGCTGAGAACTTGCACAGGAAGGTCTTTTGTACCTGTTGTAAAAACGCGCACGTGATCACCGCAAGAGAACCTGTTAGTTCGTCGACACCGACCATGGCATAGAATCTCGGCTATAGCGGCCATGTCAATCGTAGATGCGACATAGGTTTTATCTATAAACCAAGTGATATTGCATAGTCGTGCTGCCTGCCTAACCCTAATATAACTCTAACCCTAACTCTAACCCTTACCTAACACTAAACTTGACCCTAAACCTTACCCTACAACCCTACCCTATGTTGTACACTCGCACAGACACACACATGTTTACGCACGCACCTACGCTCGCAGGCATACACAGGAACATCTCTATCAGGTAATTTTGTTTAATTATTGCGTACTGGCTCCCTAGATCCTATCTGTAGAAGCGCTTGGTTGAGGGCGTTAGGTCAGTAGCCTCGCTGTAGAAGAAATCAAGCCGCCTGTGTCAGTCGAAAGAGCTTCAAGGTCGTGATCCGCTGACGTACTTATGGCAACAGAGTCGACGGTGATCCCTTTACTGATCAACTGCGAATAATGAAAAGCCAGAAAAAAACATTTCATAACGGTTCCTGCTTTCATGCATTGACTTCGTGTATTTATATGAATATCATCGTCGTGATCATCATCTCCCAACCGCGTTATTGTTGTTGTTCACGAATACTCGGTTAAGTAATACGCGCCGTGCGAATGTTCATCGCGGATTATTCTTGGTCTTCTACGATACAGCGCCGATAACTATATAGCGTCTCCATCCCCTTGATTTGCACAGACGCTCTCATCAGGCGGTCTATTACATCTGGTTTCACGGCGGCAATGTACGGTGTTGACGTCTCCTCTCCGTCCGTCACTAACAGGATATATTGGCCGTCTGGCTGAATCGCCTGCGAATCCAGGGACGATAAAACGTCGATGCCTTCCAGCAGACCTGGGCGAGAAATTTCTCATTTTAAAATAGAATCGAGGACAATTCTGACGTCGTCAACGAACAACCGAAGTAGATTCGAAGCGAGTAAGCACGCGCTCTTTATTATACCTAATTACTGTGTGGCCTTGACGGAGCGTTATTTGCTAACAATAATTAGCTGCAAAATATGGTGATATAAAGGATGTTATCTAGACGAAGAATGGATGACTGCGTGCGACATTGGGTAATTTTCTCCGACCCACCGAATTAAATCTAAGCAGAGCAACATGAAGGTTGTCCATCCGATAACACTTTGTGTAAAAGAAATGTTACGCGAACGTTAGAGCTCTATGTTGAAGAGGAACTAATGGTTATGTGATGCGAACTCATCAAGCCGCCTGGCGACTACACGCAGTGGAATCTCTTCCCGCAGCGTCATTGATAAGGACAGCATAGTAGGAGTGAACCAAATGCGCTTCTTATTCACTCCTGAACGTACCTATAACATTCTCGATATTGTAGTAAAGCGAAAGGCGCTAGAAACGTGAACGCGCCGCGAATGCACACGGGGTATTTACATGCTACGAGCACGCATTTTCTATTTGCCCGAGCGCTACGAATGCCGCGAGGGCGTTAGCTTACGAAGTTAATGGGTTGGCTAAAGATCGTTTCGTGTACCTGAACCGATACTGGTTCCACCTCCGGCCCCGTCTGGAAGCAGGTTAACCAGAGTCTCTCTGGTCGTGTTGCTGATTTGCGTCAGAGGAGCCAGGATCTTTCCTTGCGAGGAAAACTCCACGATGCCGACGTATTCTCCATCTCGCACGATATCGAGCAGGTACATGCGGCATGCCTGTAAACAGCGATAGCAGACGAAATCGAGTTCCTTGCTCAATGCTGGATGACCACGCCAGAGCATATAAATCAGCATATATATAATGTCGATTTATATGCTCTGACCACGCAGCAGCGTTGCGGTAAATATGGTGGCGACATCTAGCGCCAAACTATAGTCATTGCCGACGATTGCCTTATTCGCTAGAAACAGCTGCGAATTTGAAAGGCGATAGTGCCTTAATAATAATAATAATAATAATAATAATAATAATAATAATAATAATATTATTATTAATATTATTAATGTGATATTGCTATTTCTTTATTTATAATTATATTATAAGGCCTTATTTGCCTTATTTCAATGTAGCAACTTACTTACCTGTCGCAGACTGAGTAATCTGTCGGCGTTCATGCTCGACGAGGTGTCCAAGACCAGGACGGTATGCTTCTTTGTCCCACGCACGACCGTGAATTTCGGGTACGGTTGTTCGATATCGGGCCGAGGTGGATTAGCGTTATTGTAGAAATCCCCGTGACCACGCATCACCTGAAAGAGCCAGCCCAACCTTGCGCATAATGCTCTCCCTATGCATCTAGTACTATTGTCTACAGCACGTGACTGTAGTTAGAAAAATCGTAGCCCTATACGATAACGCTTAGTACTATTATAACACATGGAAAAACCGGTACGACTATGACTCATATTACGACTAAAATCTCTCCGATAGTGTTCCCCCTCCCCGCCATTTCTTTATAGTGTTATCTCACGATCTTAATTTTATTGCAGTCGGCCATAATATACCTCCCAGACGCTCCTTCTGCCACAGTTGCCGTTCTGTCTGTTGGCCGCCTCGGGGTTGTGCAGGTAGTCTGGTTCAGCAGGATCATTATCACAGAAGCCATCAATCTGTAATGTTGAAGCCATTAAACGCTTTTAGCTGCCACAGCGAGCCAATACATCACATACGCCGCATTACATATCAAGGAATATAATTATATCAGGTGTTAAGAATAACAAATACTGTCTTTATTAACCCCTGATTATATATATATAATATGTCTTTATCCATATAGGGTTGCTAGGAACTGCAATAAGTGAGCGTACATGCAGGCGTGCGTGTGTGCACCTATGAACTTTTTATTCTGGCATTTCCCTTATTTATAGCGCAGCGCACCGGGTAAGTGCTGGTTTTCTTTGCACGAGTGTTGACGAGAAAATAGGCGTACTTGTTTCAAGTGTTGCCGATACATGAGCGATGCGGAAGGATCGCCGCCATCTTGATCCTCCCAGCGGCATTCCGGGGGCGGCTGGTTGGTTGTCGGATCGATGTAACATGTACCTCCCGTGTTTACGTTCACCAACTGACCTGCCAAGTACAAAGCAGCGTCGGTATATTTGTCTGCGTATATATGTGACTAGATCAAAGAAAGAAAAATATTATGTGAGTAAGAAAGCAATCAAGTAAGAACGATCAAGCGATCGACGGAACCAAAGAAAGAACGAAAGAAAGAACAAACGAACGAACGAACGAACGAACGAACGAACGAGCAACTGAGTGCGTTTGCGAGTGGGCGTGATCGGACGAACTGCATGGTGGATGCGTAGAGAGATAGCCAGATGGATAGAAGGATACTTATATATTGACGACTTCAATACAACATACCTTTAAGACTTTTTGAGCATCGTACTCCCGTGTATTGGCCATCGCTAGCGAGGTACACCCACCTTTGGTCTTCATCCACAGGATATTCGTCGTAAACACCCCAGCGGAAGTGTGCCCACTCGTGTACGATGACCTAATGTAAATTCACCGTGTTAGTTAACATCGTCTCCAAGAGGCTGCCTCTAAAGGTAGTATCTCACTGGGCTGCAACTGTTGGCGACAAATTGCGAACGGCATTCGCGAGGGAGATTCCAAAATGTCTCGAAACGTTCGCAGGGGTTCTCAATTTCCTCGCGTGAGTCGCAGAGCCTCGCTCTTGTGTCGCTGGAATTTTGAACATGTTCAAAAAATTCGCGCGACAAATTTTCTCTCAAAATAGTCACAGAGTCGTCGCGGGTGTCTCGAACCCGTCTCGAACCCTTCTCAATTTAGTTTCCGTGAGTCAGAAAGTGCGAGTAATGTGAGACAACTTTGTAAAGGGTTGGCGACCTATGAAACTATGTCAGCCTGGTCCTCATCCAGGTTGGGGTCCTCATCCAGCAGCTTCTGCACTTCTTCGCTGAGGTCCATCTCGCTTAACGTCTGATGACAAAATGATTGCTGGACTGGGGAGGGGCCCCGTATTTATATGGTCCAGATTTCTCAATTGTCACGCATAACTGTCGCGCGACTGTTGCACGACATTCGAGCGACTGTCGCGCGACACTCGCGCGACAGTCGCAAGTGCAAAAAATTCGCAATTTTGTAGCGTGAATGTCGCGCGACATTCGCGCGACATGTATGCAAACGTTTTTGGCCCAAATTTCGCCGGGAGTTCGTGCGACATTCGTGCAACATTCGTGCAACATACGCGATCGTGTCGTAAGTTCCAATTCAGTGTGATTCCAAGTGAAAATTGTCGCTAATTTGCGTATTTTCTCGCAATTTTGTGTCTCCAACTAGTCGCGAGCTGTCGCAGCCCAGTGAGATACTACATGCGCAACGTTAAATGCAGAAAGGTTTTGCGCGGTTAATTCTTAACATTCGTAGACCTTCAGACGCCCGCACTGATTCTGCTGTGGCAGCACATAGGCCTACGGCTGCTGCTGCTGAGGCCACGGCGGCGGGGTTTTTTGGCCAGAGAACATCTAGTGGGAATTCTCAGTCTAAACAAACATCAATCAACGGGCTTAGCCAATGAACGTGAGGAGAACCAACATGGCTACGATAATTAAAAGCCCACGTCATGATTCCAGCTAGACTGGTACGGACGAAGTATCGGCCAAGTCTCTTTCGCTACACTAAAGTTATAGTTAGTGCAGCGTGTCGAACTCTCCACCGCGGGGCAGTCTAAGCCGAATCACCCTTCCTGGTGTGAAAAATTCTGTGGAAAATCCCTCGAAGAGAGCCTCGTCGCGCCATCTATGGGACGCGATATGTACGAGAATAACTTCAGGGCGTGAAATGGAAGAAATTGGAAATCGCTTTTCTAGAGGAAAACCTAAAGCGCCGACCAAAACACTTGCAATTACGAGCATTTGGATTTATTCTCGCCCTACGTGCAGAGTCGAAAGGCTTCTGCAAGCGCCACAACTCCTCAATTGACCGATTATGCGGCTTTATG